TGTATTTAATAAGGACTGTAATGCAATTCACAGTCTTATTTAGAGCCCTAGCCTAACTTGTAGTATTTGGTCATTGCATTATTTCTACTTTTTCTTTTCCTTCTCATTCCATTCTAGTTGTTAACTTATATTTTAAATCATTCACATTGAATGTATTTAAATGCTGTTGCAATAACCTGACTTCCCTTTGAAATTAGACTTGTATAAATACTCAAGAACTCTACCTCTAAGAAATGAACACATTTAGAGCTGTGCAGGTAAGTTCGGAGTTAACACGCCATTTTTGTTAAGACTTGAGTTATCCAGGAAGAGTATCCAGGATTACCAATGCAAGGATTAGTAAAGCCAACCCAAAGAGAGCCTGACTAAGGTGAGTGAGGCAAGTTAGAGGTTATCAAGTTTAGACATCAGTCTGTGCTCATATGAAATCTGAGGGATCTCCAGACTGTGAAGTGGCTTATCTTATCAGAGTCATTGTTTAGCCTCCATGCCCCTCAGCCACAGACGCACACACACACATTCATTTATCCATCCATCTACTCTTCTCCCAGACCATTCCCTGTCCATATCCTCAGTCACTTAAGCCACTTTCTACAGACACACACACTGTGTCAATCTCTCTCTCTCTGGGATGGTGTTGACTCAGTGACAAGCGATTGTTTGCTAACCTTCCCCTTCCCTCTTCCATCCCTCTGCACCGGTTTCATATATCACAGGTAACCCCTTCCTCTTTACCACTCACACACACACACACACTCCATCATGGATGGACATGTTTAATTTCAACACCCCTATTGTGTATCACCTCTCACGTACTGCATTGACCCTGCATGTAGACACACGCAGCAGGTCTAAGTCACACAGTGCACACACTGCACACACTGCACACACTGCACGTAGGCTAACACATTAACACACACAGCAGCTTGCAGAGCGGGATTCTTTGCAAGTCTGATGGCCTACTTTGATAGATCTCAAAAAATGAATTTGATGGATAAGAACAGAGACTAAACACCTTGAATAAAGTGTGTGTGTCTGAAACTAAAAACAGCCAGTCTCAATCTAGGGAGGGTCGAAGCAGCAAGTGGGCAGAACAGCCAAACACTGTAATCAGGCAGAAGTAAAAGTTATCATCAAAATAATTACAGTAAGGTTACAAAAAAGGAGAAAAATATTGGCACAGAGCTTTCACCCACATCTCACCCAATCTATAATTTTACTGAAAATACATTTAAATCAGAACTCGCAGATTTTTCTGCCAAACTAAGTAACCCCTACCCCAAACAGCAACGGTTCAATAATAGCTTAGCAATTAACTAGTAACTAGGTAGAGCAGTGTCTTTCAAGCTTCTCCACATGCTGATGTGTGTGCATGAGGCTCTAGTGGGGGTAATATCTACACACTTTGGAGGGTGGCAAAGAAACATCTCTTACTACATTATTTTGTGTGTTTAGGGTTCCGTTTAAAGAAAAAAGCCCCATTCTGGACTAGCACATCAGCAGCTTCTGCCAACATTACTGGAGATAGTGTTACGCCAACCAAACACTTGGGCTAGTACTCAGTCTAAAAGCTTTTCTTCTTTTCAATGTTAAAAGTAAAACTTACTGTTTGGACATAACAACATCAAAACATACATTTAATCTCTGTATCTAAGCTAAGCGGGTAACACCAATTTTTACTTTACCCCTTCGACTCTGACCTGTGGCCCTTTGCTGCGTGCACCCCCTCTCTTTCTTCCCTCTTTCCTGTCACTCTTCAGCTATCATTATTGATTAAAGGCAATTAAAGCACACAAAATATGAAAAAAGAAAACAACTCTGTTTTATCTGCCTAGTTTGCAAACTTGCGGCAAACTGCACAATACACAGTTAGAGTTTCACCCACATCCTCTAATGCCACTGAACTAAACTCTTGTTTCCAGGGTAACTGAAACTCCCGCTGGCACTTCAGCTCATAAACATTGTCTTTACCCACCGGCATTTTCTCGAGAGTGCCTGATTGGTACTGAGCATGTGTAACTTTCAGAACCTGAGATAAGAAGGAAGCAAGACGGCTCACTCCTTAGCTACTTTCATCATCAGCTCCGGAAAGAAAAATGTCCTTCATTTTGCAGTTGCTAGATTTACTAGCCCAAAGTGGCATTTTCCTTGCCCCAGGCAAGCAGCAAATCCTTATTGTTGAGCCCTGACAACTATAAACTGAATATATGCCTTGCAATAACAAAGAAATACAGAGCTGTAGCAACAGTAACCAAAGTTTTGTTGCTTCAGTCATGGTCTACTTCTGCTACTATTTACAGGTGCAATTGATTTAGAAAGATCACTTACGTACAGGAGTAAATGTAACTTGTTACTTGTTACTTATGACCAAATCGAGAACTTTTCTTTCTCGAATTCTTTAGCTGTCATATATTAATTATATCAAACTCTTTTCTCTAACTATAAAACCTGATTTTCCTGTAATTCTCTCTGTCTCTTTTTGATACTGATTTTGAAGGGCACTATATGTCGCAACATGCGGGTGATTACATGAGTCACACTGGGAAGACTCCGGTTTGTCTTCATCCACAGGTAGGGCGCTTTTCTTTCAATCTGCATGTCAATCAAGACACGGTGACTCTTCCATTGCATACGCATACACACACACACACACACAAACACAAGCACACACACACTCTTACCCGTCTGAGTCTTGGTAGTTGATGTTGAGTCTCTTGGTGGAGCCCAGCAACTCTGGAAGAAGACAAAAGATAGAGGGGAGGGGGGAGTGAGGGAATGGAAAAAGACCATTAGTATTTGGTGACATATTTTTCTTTTCATCAGAGCACTCTCCAGAAATCCCTCCATCCCTGCAGGACCCTGTGTGTGTTTTCACAGTGGGTTTTTTTTCCCCGTCATCACTACTTCCTTCAAACAACCTGACAGCCCCGACAGGATGGTGAGCTTTCCTCACCTCCTGCTGTCTCACCCTTCCCTCTATCAGCGTGTCTGACACCCTCATGGCAGCCAAATGAATCATAAACAAATGATTCTGCCTCGCAGAAATGTACCATTCCACCTCGTTTACACCGCTATCTTATCACAGCTCTTTGGAGCTGAAAGTGACAACCATAAAACACTAGCATGTCAGGATAAAACAAACATATAGGTCTTTTTTCCACAGCAGCAAAAATAGCATAAGTCAGTTAGCAAGACAGAACAAGTTTTTTTTTTCCACTCACCTTGAAACAGACAGACTGCTACTTGTCCCATGTCTTAGTCATTCACTGTGTACTCCAAGAGGAAACATACTTTAGTCTACTCCTCTATTCTGTCTCTTTCACAAGTCAAATTCAACATTTTCCATTGATTTAAAAATATTTTCTCACAATGTCTTCAATTAAATACCAGTTTCCAATTAGTTTACAAACGGTCAAAACAGTTATGTAATGGAAATATTTTCCCTAGGAACCACAAGAGACGGCTACAAAGCTGTCCAAGGGTTGCAATGGACGCATATCAATTTTTGTTTTAATCTTAAGTCGAAATCTTTATTGTGACAACACTAAGGTCCTCTTCTACATGCATAATCCTCTTTCTAAGTATCATCCAACTCCAATCGAATCTGGCCATCATCCCAATGCACTACTCAACCCTTAAAGCCTCATTCTAAGTCCTATGATACTTCCAATATCTATTTCTATCTCAAACGTCCATCTCCAGCCTCTAATGAGGGCAGGAAACTGTCCTCACACGGCTAAATATCCTTGGACAACCTACAGCCGAGCCCTACTGTAAAGGCCCTACTGTCCACCAAGACCCACACAGGAACCGGACAGCCAAGGCCTCTGAATACAGAACCATTCATCGCACTCAATCTCCCTCACTGTTTTCTCCCACTTAGGTGTGGAAAATCACATAAGTGTGTGTGTGTGTGTGTGTGTGTGTAGGTGTACATAGAGAGACAGGAAGAGAAAGAAAACTATACCAGGCCAGACAGTAAGTTTGCAGATATAGCTGGTAACTGTCATTGATCTAACTGCCATTATAGATTAGTGCTGAAACAACAATCAATTCATTGACTAATTGATTGACAGAACATAAATCACCTGTGAGCCATTATAGCTTTTCTGTTTTATGTCATTGTAAACAGAATCTCTTTGGATTTTAAACTTCTGGTGAAACAGAACAAGCAATTGAAAGACATTAAATCAGGCTTTGAGAAATTGTCATTTTTCTGAATGGCGTCTGAATACCCCCTTCCCCTGGGAGCTGCATCAACCAATTTCTGTAACTTTCCAAAACTGACAATCCAAAAAGCTTACCTACTTCACCTAGCAATAATAATCTAATTGCACAGCCAGTCAAGTAGGATAGATCAGAGTTCCACTAGGAAGTGGATCTCATCATCTGACTGCTCATGTTTATTGGTCCTTCTTTTTAGTGATGTTGCCGCAACCCAGATCTCAGATATTTACTTGGTAGAGCAATGTTATTTGTCATCCATAGGTATGATGGCTAAAACTATGAAAATGAGACCTAGTTTGTAATAAATGGAAACAATCCTTTAAAGGTCCAGTGTGTAGGATTTAGTGGCATCTAGTGGTGCAGTTGCAGATTGCAACCAACTGAATACCATTCCCCTTCCAAGAGTGTAGAACAAACTATGGTGGCCTCAAAAGTCGCCAAAAATCAAACAGTTGTATCTAGGGCCAGTGTTTTGTTTGTCTGTTGTGGGCTACTGTAGAAACATGATGGTTCAACATACAAACAGCTCATTCTAAGGTAACAAAAACACAACAATTCTTATATTCAGGTGATTATACACTAATGAAAACATACCTATGAATATTATATTCCATTTCTGACAATAGATCCTTCGAAGAACGTTATGTATG